CTGCTGCTGGTGTCGAATCGTTGCCTGTCAACTTTGCGTTGAAAGCTATTATTGAAAAATACCACCAGGAAGATCACTCCGACGTTGCTACCTGCAGTGAACACTACAGGCAACCGCTGAATATTTACTGCCTTTTGGATAGAAAATTGGTGTGTGGCCATTGCCTCACAATAGGAAAACACCACGGTCATCCCATAGATGACCTTCAAAGCGCCTACATAAAAGAAAAGGAGACTTCTGGAAAACTTCTCGAGCAGCTGACTGATCAACACTGGACGGATGTGTGTCTGCTTATCGAAAAACTGAAAGAACAGAAGTCCCAGTGTGAAAGCGTCGTTCGGGATGATAAAAAGGCCGTAGTGCAGTATTTTAAGAAGCTTAGCGATACCTTGGAGCACAAAAAACAAGCTCTGCTGACTGCGCTGGATGACGTTAATACACACATTTTGGAAGAGTATCAGCCTCTCATTGAGAAGTTGAAAAAAAAACGGGAAGAACAGCTGGAATTAATGTCGCTGAATACGTCTATTCAAAAAGAAGAGTCCCCGCTTATTTTTCTTGAGAAGATGGACAAGATGCAGCAACGTATAAAAGCTTTGAAGTGGAAGCAACTGCCGGAGGTTAAACCTGTGGAGATTTATCCGAGGATTGGGCACCTGTTGAAAGACGTGTGGTCTAAAACGGAAATCGGTCAGATCAACAAGATCCTCACTCCGAAAATAAAACTGATTCCGAAAAGGAACTTAAACGGCAAAGGCAGTGGGAAGGAAGGAAGGGGATCCAAAGAACTCCTCCAGGCTGTAAATCCTTTAGCAGTCCTGCTTCTCTTTCTAGTAACAGCGATAACTGTGTATGCATTTCACAAAGCAGTATCATCAGTTGTCATCGAAGCTACTCCCACTTATATCTCAGAACTCTTGCTGCTGATTTATCAAGATTTCTGCACCCATTTGCAGAATATAGTGGATGTGCTCTCCCATACATTTAATTTACTGATGGAGAGAATTTACTGGGGAGAAATGTTTCTCTTTGACTATTTCAAGGATTAGATTAAAAGTTAGTACAGGAATCCACAGGATTTTTTTTTTTTTTTTTAATTACTACTTACAAGCTGGATTGTTAAAGCTCGACACTTTTCCTTTCTATTTCCATATCCTTCCTCTTTCTGTATTGTCTAGATGTCGTCTTTGCTAACTCTTAGTTAACTGAGACTGGTAACAAAAAAAGCTTCCTCTCCTGCGCGGTCGCGGTCGGGGGTGTGTGTTTGGGGGTAGGCGTTTGTTTAAACTGGAAGCTAGGCAGAAACAATGTCAGCCGCAGTGAGCTGTATCGGGAGTCCTGTTTGTAAAAACTCCTCAAACAGCTACTATTTTTTTTTTTTTGGTGACATAATTTTAATTTAATTTTTTTTAAGGAAAGCACTACAATGTCAAAGATTAAAAAAACCCACTCAGGCTGCAGAGTGGCTAGTCCTGGCCGGGCCAGCCACCAGCTGTATATAAAACTCCAACTTTGGGTTTTACTGACCTCTCTCTGAATGTATTTTAACTGACACACCTGGGGGCTTTAAAGCATACATTTTGTGGTCCTGGGTTTCATTTTGTGTGTTCCCAGTTACTAGTGGATGACCTGATTTCATCTTTTTTTTTTTTTTTTCTTTTTTATAAACTTGGTGTCTTTCAAATGGCACTCTCTGCTTGAGAGCGCCCTATCTGTAGGACTTCTGGGGAAATGCTGCACACAGGTTTTCAGTGCCAGCCGTGTGTAAATCAGGTGTTTGTTTAGTCTGGCAGGGAGCTCACACTGCCTACTAAAATGAGCCCTGGCTTTCTGCTAAATCATTTAATACCTACTGAAGATATACACACTGTAGTAAGTAGCAAAACTCCCAGTGAAGTCAGCTGTGTAGGGATTCCAAATGTTGGCAGGAGCTCTGGCAATGAATGGCAATATATATTCACCTTTTCAGCACAAATAACCGAGCGCTTTACCTGGACACCGAGGAAACACGACAGCATTTTATTCTGCAATCAAATGATCGCTGACACTGTTCACTACTTCTGATGAGATGCTCCAGTCTAAACCATGCTGGGGAGTAACATCCTAGGTGAAAGCTGGTTTTGGCCTTCAGTTATCAACAGGCTGAGTACTGTAAGTACTGGGACAGCCTTAAAGTGTTGCAGTTACACCAGCAGGACGCAGGTGAGCTTACAATGCACTAAAAATACAAAAATAACTATTTGCCAGGTCTAGTTATATTTGACTTGATAAAAATAAGTGTATTCTAGCATAACAGCATTCCTTGGCTGTTGTGTATTTTTAACTCATAAAAGTTGTTTAAATAGCGATTGAATTCTGAGGCTACCCTTTAACTACTTGGTGTTTTGAACCCTCGTGCAAACCCAAACTTGCCCATTGCTGCTAGCAGGGTCCTGCAAAATACTAGCGGCTGCTGGACCTCAGTGGGAGCCGAGAGCAAGGTGAATCCTCAGGCATTCCTTGAGCCTCCGTGAAGATCCTCGTACCAGCATTGGTACCCTGCTGTTGCTCCATCGCTACAACGCCCTGCCGAGCCGAAGAGCTGCTGCGCAGCTCCGTGGCTGAGGCAGGAGCCACCAGCGCTCCCCGCGCGTTCCAAGCGGTTTCTAGAATGTGTAGATACATTTTCTGTCATCTTTTAGAGTTACAAAGGCAAAGCCCTTGAACACTGCTGGTCAGGTTTTGAAAGGGTGTTCAGGTGTATCCTGGGGTTAGATAAATGCCATCATATTAATTTCTCAGTAAAATTGGGAATTTGTTTTTGTCTTAAGCTCTGCTAGAAGGCTGGCACTTGGCATATAAGCCTCCCAAAACCCGGTGCAAAGTGTCCGTCTGCTACTACCTGAGGCATCTTTTTGACTTACCTTCCTTTGATTTTCCTGACTTTTAAAAACTTACAGAGAGTTTATAACGCAATTTTATTTTTCAAGACTACAGGAATTTGTAAGCTTTCACCACCCATGGAAACATTTAGTACTCGTACTTCTGACACACTGTGTATTTTAATAAATTTGCATACAAATAAAATATATTCTTACAGTAGGATTGGCTAACACCTTGATTTCCATACTGGGCAGAACCTTCCCCGTGACCCTAAACCGTGCTGACACACAGGGCTGAAGTGGTGAGAGGAGACAGCACGGCAATTCCCTAAAGCGGGAACGTGGGTGTTCCACAGCGCTCTGGCTGCTGCTTCACTTTCTTCCAAGCGCCCCATTTTTTGCAGTGTGAACTTTAGGAAGATTCTCGGAAAAATTTGTTGGTTTTTTTTTTTTTTTTGAGAGGGGGAAGTCTGGTTGACAAAGATTGTGTGGAGACCCAGTGGGGGAAGAGACTTAAGTTTCCAGGTGTTGAAGGTAACACAATAACAACAGCGCAGGGTGCTGAGATACCGAGGTGGCCTCTGACAGCAGAATGAGAGCAGCCCTCTTTCAGGAACATCTCTTGCAGATGAAAATAACGCTTCCTTCCCCAGCTCGTTATCCAAGGGATTATCCTGCCCTGCAGCTCCTCTTGCACTTGGGCAAAAATTCAAAGATGCCATCTTAGCGCAAGCTCGGCCGTTGCTGTGCTTGCCCATCGCCTGCGCTGCTGCGGCTTGCCTTTCTGCTTCTCGAGGTGGGTTGTTGTTTTGCTCTGCTGCTCTGCAGAGGGGCTGCCCCTGCATGGATCCTGAAGCCGTACCACGAGATTCTCTAGCTTCATCTTGAGATGGGAAAACCAAAACTGTGCAAAACAATGGCTGGAGCGGGGCTGCGGCGGCAAAGTGTTTTGCAGGTTGCTTTTTCTCATCTAGTATTGTGCTTGTGACTGTTGCCGAGCAGTGGTTTCTGAAAACTGCCCAAACGTACCACTCGGCTCTCTTCCTGATGAGTACAAGTGTAGGTAGTGCACATACACAGCATGTTACTCCATATACATTAATTTTTACCTGTCAGTAATTTGATATGATCCTAACATTTACATTGAAAGCTTATCTCTACACTTTATAGCAAATTATTACAGCACCCCCCCCCCCCCTTCAGTTTTCCATCAGCTCTGTGTCAACGATTGTGCCTTTTAGGCTGGGGTGAGGTTTTTGCTGCATTTGCATCCATCAATCAGGCAGTGTTTCACTAGGCTGGGGCCTACAGCAACAACAGCAAGATAAACCAACTCAGGTTTTGTGAAGTGGCATTTGGTGTGAAAATAGCAAGAGAGAGAAATATAAACAAGGACTACCAGCACAGAGCAGAGTCAGCTGGCAGGCTGGGGCTGTTCTTTGTCAGCTCTCCTACCACTGGCCTTACTGAACAACAGCACAACAACGATGGAGCTTTTTTATTTTTTCCCCTCCAGGAAGCTTACCACCGCCAGACAGAGGCACTTCTAGCTCAGGGATCAGTACCGGTGCAAGCGTGCCAGATTACTGGCCTGACACTGGGAGTAAAAAAACACAATTTTGGTTCTGAAAGCACAAAAGAGAGATGGGATTCAAAGCAAAAGCCATGCACTGAAGTGTTGACAAGATGCAGGTGGAAACAGAGAACTGTGTAACAGCCAGCGAGCAACAGGCGCAGGGTAGGGGTGTACATAACCTCACCTCTTCCACAGGAACAACTCAGCCCTTTGGGGATCGACAGGAGAAGCGCGCAGATGGGAGTTACCATGTCCGTAAACCCTGAGCACAGCTGCAGCCTGAGAGAGAGGGAGGAGTTGTCCCTACAGGAGGGGAGAGGAAAAGAACTGCAGAGCAGCTTCCTCAGCTGCACCAATTCCTTACAAAATTACAAAATGGCTACAAACATCCCATTCCCAGAGGCCATGCAGCATTGCATACAACATCATTAGAATACACACGTAAATTATTTCGTATGCTGACTTTACTAATAAAATTTTTTACTAAAAAAATAATAGAATGTTACAGGACACTTTGACATTTAAGAACAATTTACTTTAATACATACAGTAAAAACCAGGCATTTAAAACCAAATGCAGAACCCAAGCGTTGACATCGAGGCTACCCATGGAATATTAAAATGCAGCTAGATACATAATTTGAGAAATAGTTTTTTTCTTTCCACTCAGTTCATAAAATTAAGGTCTATATAGACTGTATAATTAAAAAAAAATTATTGAGGCTGGTTTTATGAACCAGCTCAAATAAGCACAAAAGGAAAAGGAAAAATCTCAAATACAAAAGTATATTAGATAAAAGTAAACAGCAGCAATGAGACTGGAAGTTCGTTCCGTTCTATTTTTGAGCTATACTACACCCGAGAGTGCCAAGTTCAGCCAGTCCTTTAGATGCAATAATTTTGGGGTTTGTTGCCACGCTTTTCGTGGTATTGTGAGTCTTATAAATTCCAATTAATCTGTCCGCGATCTCAAACATGTTGTTTCGCAGGGAGATGATGATAAACTGTGCGTTTTTTGTTTGCTCCTGAAAGAGAAGGTATTAGCATTAGCCCACAGCATCTCAAAGACCTCTGCGCTTGCATGATCTCTAATCGCAGGTTTTAGGAATCGGGAGTACATGGCTATAAGTAGTTCTGTCATTCAACACATCCGCAGGTGGTGAGGCCTCAGCGCTATGCGCACAACACGCTCCCAGCCCGGCACAAAGCACTGCAATTTACTTAAGCACAAATTTCCTCTTTTTTATCTTTTACTTGACTAACTCAGGTGAATTCAATTAAACACACATCATTTCTTTCTAGAGTTGCAATTCGCCCCAGTTTTGACATGAATTCCGCAAGGCTTACCAAAGGTGGGTATTACCAAGTTACCTGAGTTGTTACAGCAAGGGTTGCTTTAAGAATGAAAAGAAAACAAATCTACTTCCATGCCCCAAGAACGGGGAAAGCAAGCCCTTTGCTAACGAGGGCAAGCCTTGACGAACACTAGTTCTGGGACCCTGAGGCAGAACGACAATAGACAACAGAATATCTATATTTGGCAGTGCTTTAAAACACAAACTTTATCCTTAAGAGCCCAGCAACGTCAGTGCAAGCTCACCAGCGCTCCGAG